TGCTTAGGCTGCTGCCCCCGCGACCCGGCCTCGGATAAAGCGGATGAAGATGGATGGATGGCAATGGCGGCAAAGAAACCCAAGACAACACGTTAAAGAGCTAATCTCATTTTTTTCCCTGTAATTTTCGTTATGAAATATTATCAGAGAGAGACAGAAATATAAAGGTCTCTGACCACAGTGGCACCGATGACTTCTTCTGCTTTTTTTGGTTTAACAGCGAATGAAGATGCTCACACTTGAGTGTTAGTGTCACGCTCCATCCCTTGAACTCCACACGATCAATCTTTCAATTCATACAGAGATGAACAGAAAAGAAAAAGCTAATAAATTGTGTGAAGAGGAGAGAATCCCTGAGAGCTTTGAAGGATACGTCGCGATAGGGCATACATCTCAATTTGGGAGTGAAATTGGTAGCAGAGAAGAGCTATAGTGAAGGATAGCGCGCAAACAGAGCGACCTTGATCTCAGAAATGAAAGGAGCAGAAAAGAGATCGGAAGCATCAAAACAAAACAACTCATTAAAATCAGACAAATAACGATGGAGCAGCGAGAGGAGGGACACGGAGGAGGAGACAAAACTGTTTGCATTGGGAGGGACAGGCAACAGGAAGTGAAAGAGACAATGTGTTAGTCCGAGGAGCAGAGACAGCGAGTAATAAAGCTTCAAATAGTTTCTTTTCACTGTCAAATAAAAGACAAAAATAGCTTCAGTCAGAATGATTCTTTAAAAGAAGAAATCAGCTGAGGTTACAGGATCACCGCTGCGCAAAATAATGAAGTACAATGTATTTTAAGGTACCTTTTGTTTAAAGTCTTCCTAAATGAACTAATAAAAGAAATAACTGCTAAGAACTTATGTTAAAAAATTAGCTTAATACACATTTGAACAGTCTAAGTCTGCTGAATACGTAGGCAGCATGATGGTGCAGAGTTTAGCACTGCTGCCTCACACAGAGAAGCCTTTGTGGAGGATTTGTTGTCCCTGTGCTTGGTGGCTTGTCCCCCCTGAGTGCTTCAGTTCCCTCCCACAGCCCAGAGGCATGAATGTTTAGTGAACTGTTTGCTGAGCCGGCTGTAGGTGAAGCTCTAGGTGGTCAGATCAGAAGCGCTAAAGGTTACTGTTGCATTAATGTACATAATTGCCAGCAGAGGTACACAGCTGGCCTCTGTGAGCTTCAGGGTGCAAACACCCGCCCACTGTCGACAGTCAACCTCAGAAATTATTGACTTAGTTACAAGTGGCTGTACCTGTGCAGGTAAAAGAAGGTACTGTGATTGTATGGGTCACAGCAGTTTGTGAATGTTAATTTAGAGCAGCAAGTTCTGAGAAGTGAAGCTGAAGTGATTGCATGAGTCACGTCACTCAGCTGTGAGAGCAACCTGTCGCTCATCTAAGAACACGCAGGAGGTCATTATAAATAATGACATATAAATGCAAAAATACTTCAGGCACCAGCAGCTGCGCTCTCCTGCGCTACCTCAGCTACCTCCTCTCCTGTCGTATGAGATCACATTCTCCTTCCTGAGGAGTCATTGCTAATTACCTCTGAATTGAAGAGATTAGCTCATTCTGGAGAAAAATAATCCCCAATTATTTACTCGGGGCTTAAAGCACGTAAAAATGTTTGAGTATTAAAAACTCAAATTATTTAATGTCATTTTGAATTCATGGACCCTGGACTGTAGCTTGTATGTGTCTGAGCAAAATTTCTGCTCATCTTCAGTTTTTTGCACATTCAAAACTAAAAACAGTTCAGCTACGGCTCTGACAAGATTTTGCAAATGTTTCTCCCAAAGACAGAAAAGAATCACAAAAAAGAAATAAAAGACATTTTAAATGGACTAATCTAGTGATGTGCATCACCCGGTCACGTCTTTTTACTTTAAGCCTTATGAATGAGCCGGTGTAGCAATGCATCTAATAAGAAGACTGATAGCAGTAGGTGCATGTTATCAGTTCAGTGTTATTGTGATAACACTGAAGAAAATCTAAAAAAATGTCACATATGAAGTTAGTTGAGGTGCTGAAACTTTGTGCAGGTCTGCAGCACCATCGTCCGACTGCAGCACCCCACTGAGCCGGCGCTCTTGTGCTTATTTCATCCATATGAGTGACTGCTCATTAAAGTGCATTTTTTATTGGAAGAGCTCAGTGTTCAGTCATGCAAGCTAAATGAACCTTGTCTGTAAGGTTTATTAAAGCAACTTACAGCCTGTCCTCTCCATCACTTTCTCTCCCAGCACCCGCCTGCCGTACATTTCAATTTCAAACAAACTTCAAATGAAACTCCTTCTTCCCTCATCTCCCTGGCAGCACCATATTTAACTAACTCTTTTCTTACCGGGGCAGCAAAAACCATGCGTTGAGCTCCTTGCTATAAGCGTGCATGCACCTGTCCCACCAGCTGTCCTGGTGTCAGATATAGAGTTTGCACCAGAGAAATACTTTGCAGCAGAGCGCCTAACAAAGGCAGGTGAACTGGACCAGTTGTGACCACACAGCCAAATATGTAAAAAGGTACAGTGGTTAGCACTGTGACCTCACTGAAACAAGGTCCTGGGTTTGAATCACCAGCTGGCAGAGTCCTGCTGCGCTTCCTGTTTGTTCAGTATTGGGTTGTTGGGTGATTGGTTAGTCTAGACTGGCTGTGAATGGTTGTCTGCACTCTGACCTATCTGGGGTGCACCTCACCTCTTACCCTATGGAAGCTATGATTGGCTCCTCCCGCCTATGACCTTAAATTGGCTAATCAAGAAGGAAAAGAGCTGGAAAAAACATGCTGAAACAGATGCTGAAAGGCCGAGTGCCAGTGAAGTTAATGTTAGCACTGATGATTCTCAGGATCCTCAGATAACACTAGCATGGTTAAGGTTAAGCAACAGTCTAAAGATGAGTTTCAGTCTAACTCATAGGTGTCAAACTCTGGCCCGCGGGCCAAATTTGGCC